TTCCGTTCCGTTCCATTCCCTTCCCTTCCTTTCCTTTCCTTTCCTTTCCTTTCCTTTCCTTTCCTTTCCTTTCCTTTCCTTTCCTTTCCTTTCCTTTTCCTTTCCTTTCCTTTCCTTTCCTTTCCTTTCCTTTCCTTTCCTTTCCTTTCCTTTCCTTTTCCTTTCCTTTCCTTTCCTTTCCTTTTCCTTTCCTTTCCTTTTCCTTTCCTTTCCTTTCCTTTCCTTTTCCTTTCCTTCTCCTTTCCTTCTTTCCTTTCCTTTCCTTTCCTTTCCTTTCCTTTCCTTTCCTTTCCTTTCTCTCTTTCCTTTCCTTTCCTTTCCTTTCCTTTCCTTCTCCTTTCCTTTTCCTTTCCTTTCCTTTCCTTTCCTTTCCTTTCCTTTCCTTTCCTTCTTCCTTTCCTTTCCTTTCCTTTCCTTTCCTTTCCTTTTCCTTTCCTTTCCTTTCCTTTCCTTTCCTTTCCTTTCCTTTCCTTTCCTTTCCTTTCCTTTCCTTTCCTTTCCTTTCCTTTCCTTTTCCTTTCCTTTCCTTTCCTTTCCTTTCCTTTCCTTTCCTTTCCTTTCCTTTCCTTTCCTTTCCTTTCCTTTCCTTTCCTTTCCTTTCCTTTCCTTTCCTTTCCTTTCCTTTCCTTTCCTTTCCTTTCCTTTCCTTTCCTTTCCTTTCCTTTCCTTTCCTTTCCTTTCCTTTCCTTTCCTTTCCTTTCCTTTCCTTTATCAAATTAGTATACGAAACAATATGATTAAATAATCAAAACAATATGATTAAATAATCAAAACAATTACTAATCAAATAATCAATTATATTTTGAACAACTCAGCCCAACAAAGTATATGATAAAATGTTTCGTCTATAAAAGGAAATAATCATACAAACATAAAAATAATTAATTTTCCATAAAGGTTGGTTCGACTTATTTTTGGAACTTATTTCTGTTTAGCCTTCCCTCGACAAATACTGCAGAGAGAAATCCTAAAATTCCTATTCCCCAATCTCATGGGATTTTTCATCCTAAGTTTTGAAAAAATTTTGAATTCCTATATCGGTTTTTTAATAGTGTTTTGGTGGTTTTGTTGATTTTCTTAGTTTTATTCATGTTTTTTCCCCTCTTTTATTTTAGATCTGTTTTAATCGATGTTATATAGCCGATTAAACAGTCCGCTGTTTAGATATGGCACAAAAATGAAGGCAAATAATATAATAAATATCCTTAAAAAATACGAAATTATTTTTTTGTTGGAGGGACAAATTTCAATAAATGTCAATCTCAAACTGCTACTTACAACAGGGCGTGATCATATTCAAGAGCAAAATATGTTTGTTTTGGAATAAAATATTGGGCCGCTAGGGAATATGCGGATCACAGAAACAAAAATTTATCCCTTTGGAGATCGGAATAAATCTTAGTGAGTGGCATTTAAGAAATGGGGAATTTGTGAAAATATCGTAAATTAGGCTAGATTGGTAAATGCCGCAAGTGGGTGAACATAAATAAAAAGTTACAGGATGAGATAGTTTTAAAAAAATTATGAAGTAAAAGGTTGAGAACGAGGTGACCATAATCGAAAATATTATTAGATAAAATATAAATGGTAATATAATATAAGATAAAGAGGAGATTATCGCAATCATTATTACTTGCTATTCAGCTTTTGGTTTATTACGAGATATGGCGGGATCGCTATTGTTATAGATATTCTCAAATTTCTCAATACAAGACCCGTAGCCAGAGAAAAAAAAACTTTTGATTCACTTGGTAAAGATCCAAACCTTTATATTTCTATGCTTAAATAGTATATTTTCTTTCATTTGGTTGTTAACTGGTATAATATAGATATCTTCTTGTCGGCCTATAAATTAACTAAAAATATATACAGATAGTTAAAAATTAAAATGACTTTTATAAAAATTTACACCTTAAAGGAATGAATCCTTATTGTAGAGATAGGTAAAGTATGATGTCCATATTTTGTTAAAAATTATTTTCCTATAAATTACCATAACTTTGAAAATCGATAAAAGGGTTTTGAAAAGTGATCTCATTCCAATTACAGCAGGATCTAGTTGAGAGACCTGCTGCATTGGTATTTAGATAAATCATCCCGATTAACATGACCAATTTGGGGAATATTTAAGAAATCTTTCCCGTTCATACCATTTTACCCATTTTTTATTTTAGAAAACTCAATAGAAATATAAGTATGGACAAAACGTATGATGAGCACTACCCACCAAATCCTTATATATCCCCTCAATTTTTATAGAGACGGTACTGATTAGAATATTAAATTATAACGATCAAGTTAATTATTGAAAATCATTTAACAAAACATTGTCTTTTTTCAAAATTACCTAAGCATATAATTTATTATTAGGTACACCTTAACTTTGGCACTGTAAAAAAAATGTTGGGAGCAAAAGTTGGAACCAGCAGAATTTTGTTAGTGAAGTTTTAAATATATCGTAAATTTTTTGATCATTAAATTATGTTTTGATAAAATATGTTGTTTAAAAGTCTAGACAAGTTATTTCGGGTTAAAGTAATATTATTAATATATTATACAAAAACACATACAAATAACAAAATACCCTTTTTATAAACAACTTTTGCATCAAAATCTAAATCTTAGACTATAAAGCAAACACTCATTTTAAAAATTTAATTAAATATCGCTTATATAAGCAATTTTTAACATGGGTTCGAAGTACTACTATGATTATTACAAAAACAAGAAAAAAAATAAAATACCCTTTATAAACAACTTTTGTATCAAAGTCTATGTCTTATCTTATTTTAAAAATTTAATTAAATATCGTTAGCAAGGCAATTGATTATAATAACTTTTTTATAAAAAATTATAATTTTGAAATTTAAAATTTTAGTTAGCTTTTTATTCATATTATTTTTAATAATTATTATAAACTTTTTTAAAAATTAAAATCTTAATTTTATAAAAAAAAAATGTTGAAAAATTTCTCTATATGTCTATTAATTACATTCCTAATCGGTAAAAATTAATTATTTAATAATTATATGCATATACAAATTCTCTAATAAATGTAAAAAAAAACTTTCTTAAAATTATCTACAAAACTGAAATCTTATTTAAAATTGACCCCGGTGCCGAAATGGGAACAGGTTTCTAACAAATGTATAGAGAATTTAGCCGTAATTTCTTGGTATTGAGTTAGGCAAAATGTAGGATTACTCATGTGTAAAGTTTTTTTTCAATATTGCTGATGATCTTGTTGGCTTAGGCGAGAACCAAGATTTAATAAATAATCTTAATTTTTGGTACATAAATATCCATATTCATATCCCTCTCATTTCTATATTCGTTTGGTTACTTTGATACCCAAATTTAAATACTTTTTTAAAAATAATATGTCAAAAAAAGTATACTTATATGAAAATGAGGCAAGGTCTCAAAAAATATCGTATTTTTTTTTTAAAATTTTATAAGACCAACCCCAGGCTATTAAAAACGAAGGAGAAACATCTGGTTTGATACGTCATTTTTTTTTGAAGGGTTAGCTGCTAGTTAAATTAATAATCTCGAATGTTCAGGATATAATGTTTTACTCCCTGTTTATCAGCTGACTATGAATTTCTTGATATTTGGTTGGCATTCCATGAATTTTTTAAATAAATATGTGTAATAAAAGATCCCTATCCAGAGATCCGAACCGAAACGAATATCGGTTCGGTTCGGGTTAAGGTTCAGATAAAAATAACGGTTCAGGTTCGGTTCGTAAAAAATTTAAATATCGGATCGGTTCGAACCTCTAAAAATCCGTTTAAACACTTTTATATTATTCGAATTATGTATAGGGAAAATATTTTTTTATTTTATCATTAATTTAAAAAACACATGTATAAACCTTCATTTTTATTAATTGCACATTATAAAATAAAATTTAATTTATAAATATAAAATGATTAATTTTAATATGAACAATATTTTACTTTTTTTTTACCTATTTTTTTTTTATTAAGCCTCACAATTATTATATTTTCAAAATTCGTCTCACTCAAATTACATCTATATGGAGATTGTGTAAATTTAATTGTTGAAACATCTTTTTGGGTAGCCGGCACTGCCAATATGATATCAGATTTGATGTGTCATTTATAATTATATTTTGGATTTAATTTTTCTCTAAGCATTATAATTTATAAACTTAAAATATTTAAAAAAATGTTGTAAAATAACAATATACCAAAATGTGATTGATGAAAATCTTTAAAATTATTCGAATATAATTCAAATTTAATAATAACTTACATATTATTTTATAAGCATAAAATCATGAGACTCGAACCGGTTCAGAGGAATTTTAGCGGTTCGCTTCAGGTTCGGCTGGAATTTTTTAGCGGTTCAGGTTCAGTTCAGGTTCGATAAAAATACCGGTTTTTAGCGGTTTAACGGTTCGGTTCAGATTTGGTTTGAATCCCTGTCCCTATCTTCGTTATTCAACCAGAAAATTAAATGTTTAAGCCTTCATATATGTTTTTATAAAATATTTTTATCCTCTTTTCCACAAAATTTACAATCAATTTTTCCCCTTTATTTTCTCAAAGATCTTGATATAAATTTTTTTAATGACAACATTTACGTCTCTTAATTACCGATTCAATGTTGTTGAAAAGCCGGTAAGATTATATTTCGAAACTAACATTATGGTAAGCCTTAAAGATTTTGACACATAACTGGCAAAAATTCTTGGAAATCTCCTAACCCTAACACTGACCCAATCTCAATGCTCACATAATAATATTTTAGCTAAAATTCTAACCTGATCATTTTGAAATATCAACCCCTAATAGGCTTTTTAACGACACTAATTACTAGTATTCTAGATTCTGAAAAACGGCATATAAATAAGCGAATACTAAACCCCTAAAGATTTTTAACAATTTTATATTATCTCCATTTCTGTCGATTAATTTTTTTTTTAAATAAAATCTTTCCATATTTATATAGTAGTCACAGTTTTTGGTGAAATGGAGAATGAATGCCCATCCGGCAAGTACGGAACTAATTGTACTGCAGGTTAAAAAAAAAACTTTTGTTATAGACAAAAAAATGAATAATTAATCTTAGAATTATATAAATCGTCAAAATTAACAGGGGTCGTGAAAACATTTATAAGTCAAAATCCAAATAGTTATAACCCCCCCCCCCCCCCCCACCTTAAATTTGCTATTAACTTAGAATATAAGAAATTTCTTTTTTTTAAAAAAGGAGTATATTGTTTCAAGTGTTTGCCATTTCAAAATTTTTTTTTTTTAAATTATGAACATTATTTGCCTACGATAAAAACTAAGATTGCCACTGTAATCAAAATGGATCAGCAGAAAATTGCTCTTTCTTCGGGTATTGTCATTGCCTAGATGGTTACTGGGGAGACAGATGCGAAAAAAGTAAATATCATATAAAGTAGAGGTCTGCAATGGCCGGGTTTTTAACCAAAAAGCCCGCCCCACTCGTTGTATCAAAATTCTTTAAACCAGCCCACCCGCTCATTTATTATTTTTTATAAAAAAAACCGACCATGCCCATTCAAATTATGAGCGGACGTAAACAGGGGGGGGGGTACACCACGATCAATGCAAACCTCTAATGATAAAGTGTATTATATACAACCAATTTATTTTTATCTTGCTTCATATCTAAATGATTATGATGGAAAAGATTGCAGCAGTGAATGTCGTTTGAGAAAATGCCATCAAATTACTGGAATGTGCAGATGCGAAGATTTCAAATATGGAAGAAATTGTGATAAAAGTAAAATTGAAAATATTTATTATATTATATTAAAAAATAGCTGCTAATGATGAAATAAATTTTGCCCAATTTTGAACACCATTAACCAGCGACTTTTACCAACTCAGAGCTAATCATGTTTTTCAACGATTATCCTATAAAAATATTAGATCTCCGATATCTAGATATATCTGTTAGCCGATATCGATAATTTTAAAACAATTGATAAAAATTTGTACCTCTTAAAAAAATAAGTCGGTTCTTATTATTATGTAATGATTCAGATAAAAAATTTTCATAATGAGTGGAAGAATTTAGGATATCTAGTATAAGGTTTAAAAATTTAAATAAATATATGTTTTTATGTTACCTTATAAAATTATGGAAGCTTTTATCGTAATATTATTACTACTCACTTTATTTTAGTTTAATTATACAAAATTATATGGAAATGTTATTTTTAGTCAGGATAAAGTATAATTTTATTCAGGCCTATATAAATATTTTAATAAATATATCTCCATTCTCTAAGTGCAAAGGATCAACTGAATTCCTTGTCATTAGTTGCCATTATATTCTGTAATTTTGTTTTGGAGAGCTCTTTTATATCATTTCTTCTTTTATATCTTAGAAATGATCCGATTAAGCGCTTAAGAAAATAATTAACCATTTTTTCATTTCTAAGATATATTAAATTTGTAAATATTTTATGATTACAATGCATGTTGCAATTGGTTCATGTCCTAACTTTAAAAGGTTGGTTATCTTTCATATGCATTTTGAATCCTTTTCCTGATCTATCAAATTTTTTTTTAAAAAAATAAGAATTTGACTAAAAACAGATAGAATTTATGATTAGAAAGTAAGGAATAAAAATTTGCTGATGTAGTTTTTTTTTAAAAAATTTAAAGATCTGATTGTTGTCATAAAGAATGAAAGAAAGAAAGAAAGAAAGAAACTTTAGGGCGATTTTTCAATCTATACAGCTAAAATTAGATGATTGTATCAATCATATGTACCATTGGCATATCTATACAAATTTTATTAAGGTGAAATTGATGTATTCAATTCGTATCTCTCGAAAAAATTTGCCCATTTAAATTATGGATATACTATTTATCTTCTTTTTTTTTAAACATTACTTAATCGTAGTGGGATTTTAAAAATGTATATAATTTAATAAAATTTTTGTTTATAAATATTTTTTTCTTCTTCTACCATTCATAAGATTGCACGTGCGATCCTAGGGTATATTCTGGATGTAGTCGTAGTGGTGGATGTTTGTGCAAAACTAACCCTGATAACGCGACTCTAAGTATTTAAATGATATTACATGATGTTCCAATTCGAAAATAGAAAAGAACTAAAAAAATTTATGATTACTATATTATGTTGCTTTAATCAGATTTTCCTTCATCCCCACCCACCCTTCCAAAAGACCTAATAATAATTATTAAACTTCATATTATCCATCGTGTAAACTAAATTTAAATTCCCAAATCTAATATATTTTTTTTTTAAACTTTATATAAATAAAAAATATAAATATATAGAATTTAGTATTTCAGTACATATTTTGTTACGAATAATGTCTTGAGATATCAAATCAATTAATAAAGAAAACTTTAACCAATTCATTCAAATATCAGTTTAATTTAATAAGATTTTAAGAAAACAAATATAACGTTTTATTTGCTAGAAATTTCGTTAAGTTATTACTGATCAATTACTTTATTAGAATGGAACTAAGATAATTTAGTTATATCAGATAGTGTGGGGCTTAATCGTGGTTCGATCAAGTCATTTTAAAAATTAAGATTTTTAGCCGCCATAATTTATCATGCAAAGCCTCTAGATTTCGTTGATATGTGTCCAAACCTTTCTGTCCATCTATCAGCAAAATCTCAAAATATTTTTTTTTGGCTAAAATGTTGAATTAGTTTATTTTAAAAAGAGTCACTAATTTCAGATATATCTTAGATATATATAAAAAAACAAAATAACTAAAGATTGGTGTAGTTTATGTGGCATAACTTTAGCCAATTCCAAATTAGCCAAGCTTTTAACCTAAAGAAAATAGAACTAAATCTGAACCTAAACTTTAGATATTGGAACAAATTCTTTAGGATAAAAACTTGGCAGAACCAGTCAAAGTTAGATGATTTATTAACATTAATAAAGATCATTAGAACTTGTATATTTTCACAAATTTTGCATATAGAATATTTGAAAAGATATTAGATTGCATTCTATTTATAATTGTGTATTATATTTTATAGATAACACTTCATGTCCTGACAATATGTTCTGCAAAGAAAATAGAAACTGCGTCTGCAAGGGTTGGAAATATGGATCTAGATGTGACCAAGGTCTCTTTCACAAAAATTATAATTTTTTTTAATTGTAATTCTTTAAACTTTCGACATACTTATTTTACTTAGAGTCCACTTGTAACAGGAATAATACGATTTCGCCCTTTTCCACAGGAGGTTGTCGATGTAAATTGGGTTATTATGGCAGGAATTGCGAATTCGGTATATATTTCCTATATATATCTTATTATAAAGAGAGTTTTAGGAAAATTTTGATTTTAAAAAGATTCCAGTCTTTAAGGGTTCTAATGAGGCCTCTGTATTGGTTCATTTCATTTTTTAAGACACATTTCTGGCTAGCAAACAAGGGCTATTTGGGAACATCATATTTTATAGTTTCTCAAGTTTTGTATACAATATTAACAAATAATATTTTTATATATACCATATTCGGCATTACAAAGCAAAACATAGATTAGATTAAATATAATAGGACTCTTTCATTTTTACGTATCCTTGAGTTGTTAAAGTGCCTGGATACGATATCCATAATGGATACTATTTTTAATGTTTTTGTATTTCCTTTTTTAAAATATTTTTTGTTGTATTAGAATGATAAAGATTATTATATTTTAAATGATTATTATTTATGGTTGTATTAGAATGATAAAAATTAATTGTATTTTAAATGATTATAATATATATATTACGAACCTGTTGTTAGCCATGTATTTTGTTTATTTTTGTGGAAAAAGAAAAATACATTGGCAACAGAGGAAAAGGAGGGATTATTTTATTTTTGTTGAAAAAGAAGAAAATTTGATATTTTATAAATTATTGGAAGAGACAAAGAATATATATAATTAATAAAGATTCATAAATTAGAGAAGAGACAAAAGAAAATATATAATTAATAAGGGTTCATAAATTAGAGAAGAGACAAAGAAAATATATAATTAACAAAGATTCATAAATTAGAGAAGAGACAAAAGAAAATATATAATTAATAAGCATTCATAAATTAGAGAAGAGACAAAGAAAATATATGATTAACAAAGGTAAAAATACTTTTAATTTAAAGATACTTTCAATTTAATTTACTTTCATTTTAATTTACTTTCATTTTAATTTACTTTCATATTAATGTATACTTTCATTTTATTTTTTAAGAGATACATTTTAATATACTTTTATAATTTAATATATATAATATTAAAAATAAAAAAGTATTTGAAAAACTCGTAATATAAATATTCACTAAATATTACACTTTTTTTCCTATCCATTCAAATCTACAAGGGCTGTTTGGGAACATCATATTTTATGGTTTCTCAAGTTTTGTATACAATATTAACAAATAATATTTTAATATATACCATATTCGTTATTACAAAGCAAAACATAGATTAGACTAAATATAATAGGACTCTTTCATTTTTACGTATTCCTGAGTTGTTAAAGTGCCTGGATATTATATCCATAATGGATACTATTTTTAATGTTTTTGTATCTGCTTTTTTAAAATATTTTTTAAGTACATTTTAATATACTTTATAATTTAATAACGCATTTATATATAATATTAAAAATAAAAAAATATTTGAAAAACTCGTAATATAAATATTCACTAAATATTATACTTTTTTTTCTTCTCCATTTAAATCTATAGGTAGTTCCAGATTGTGAAGAATATTTTTATCATGGAAATGAATATATATGAATCCACCATTATTAATTTATTAATTAATAAAAACAACCATTGATTGATGAGCAAAATTATTTTAAGCAAATTAATTAATTAAATTTTTTTAAATTTTATATATATTATACTCCTTTAACTTTTAATGAATAAATCATAAGTATAATGTAAAAAAAATTTTTTTTAAAAATAAATGCTCGTTTTAAATTAGAATTTGTTCGATAAGAACAATGTTAAATAGGGGTAATATTATTTTATATGGTGGTATAAAAATGTTTGTTTACATTTATTGTGCTCTCATGATAAGAGCTTTCTGTTAGAGAACAACATCAAACACTGTATATAAGTATGAAAAAAAATTATACTATATACAGATACAATATACATATACAAATGATTAATAGTGTCTCTATTTAGATATTCTTTAAAATGATGTATCTGTATCTAGATCCATTTTTTTTTGAAAATAGTATCTTTTAACAACACTGATGTATTATTAGATTTTTTGTTTTTTACGTATCTAAAGATAAATAAATTTATATTTCGAATTTTATCAAAAGAATGTCGAACTGATTGTATAAATTCTTACTGGCACAATAAATGCAAGGGGGATGGTGAATGCTGGTGTTTAGATGGCTATTATGGATTGAAATGCGAAAACAGTTTAAACAACAAATTAAAATATTTTATTATTTGAAAGTTTAAAAATTTTTTGATGTAACTAGAAAACAATTTCTTGAATATATAATTCCACTTTTAAATACTGTAATAGATGACATTTTATTATTTGAGAATATGCTTTTATAATGTAAAATCATTATGAGAATTTTATTGGTGAAAGTATAATCATCTCTAAAGATTCAATGGACATCTCAGGGTCTTAAGATTTACTTAATTTTTTGATTATGTAAGATCTAAAAAAAATAAATTAGTTTTTGAAGACCTCGACTCTAAAAACCTTAGAATAATCTAGTCATCTCCCACTTCCCATATATATTATTTGCTAAAACCCAGCAAAAAATAAAAATGTATCTTATATATTTTTTTTAAATATAGAATGTAACTGTGCAAGTAACGAACAATGTGATGAGGCTGGAACATGTAGTCCTCGACTTACTAGAGTAAATAATTATATTTTTAACTTTAGGGACAATATTTGCTAAATTTCTCTCAAAAATATTTTTAGCAAAAGTTTTTAAATTAGTATAATTTTAGTAAACACTTTTTTTGCATTTTATCCTTAGTGTTAAAAATTCAAAATCTACTTTTATCGACGGAAAAGAGGTGAGAATTTAAATGTTTTATAGTGTGAGAGAAAGTGGAGTGATTGATTTAGGGCTTTCCTCGAGAGTTGAGACAGATTTGTACAAAATATATTATCGATTCTACTATTGTGTAATATTGAAATACCCGGGGATTTTGCTATGGGAGAGGCAAAAGGTGGTACATAGGGGGGGTTTATTAGCTTTAAAATGATATTTACCAGAACATGCTAATTAGTTTGCACCTGACGTATACAAGTGATATAATTCATAATATTTTTTTAATATTTATCGTATTTAGATAGCTTGAACGAAGAAACCGAAACGTACAATCATTAAGGGAACAAAAATTTTTTTGCGGGAATTTTACATTGTTTTTTTTGAATCTATAAAAATCGTGATTTTTTATGAAAAAATCGATATATAAATTACATTATAAATTATACATTTTTTAATCAACGATTATTCATAATTTATATGATACGTGATTTATTTAATTTAAAAAAATCAACAAATAAAGAAATCATAAATTTAAACTATTTTAACATGTTATTAAACCATTTAAGTGATCATGGTATTTTGAATGAGAAATCGATATTTATGAAATTACAGTTAATTACATTTGGATACATTCTTACACATTAATATGTATAATAAAGGTGATTTATGATTAAAGGTTTGATTCAACCAGAGTCTTACACTTAAAGTAGTAATGACACTTACCATCAGATGTCATATTGATTTTCCCAATTTTAGATTAGACCACAAGATTAGTTAGGCTAGCATTTATTTTGTTGAACCGAGCTTTTACTACCTATCAGTATCTATACGATTTATATTTAAAGATAGGGAACTCAAGAAGGGACTAGTGTTGGAGAAAACAAATTTTCCTTGATATTTTCAGTTAGGAAAGTTAAATTTTGATTAAGGACTATACAAATCCTAAAAGTATTTCTTTATTAATTTCTACCAAATATCGCATTCTGATCCGGGTGTCCTTGTTGGGGGTGGGGGGTTAAGGTTTTATTTAAAAAGGAATAAATTAGCGGGACCTAAAAATAATTTTTTTTCTTCCGAGAGATCCTCCAGGTCAGACCGAACCTACAAATAGGCACCTCCTGGTTTTTTTTAAATATTCTATAAACCAATAAAAAAAAATAATGTTATAATGCCAAAATGGCGATAATATGGATGGCTGTGAGGGGTAGGTAGAGGTACTAGACTGTTATCTTTATGGCAAGTTTAACCAATTTGTCCCTATTATAAATTTTGGGTCCCAATAAAATTCTTATTAACTACTATATGGAAACATCTTGATAATTTGGGCAACTGTCTGCTTCTGAAAAGTGGGAAGATTTTTTAATTTTGATACATTTTCTCAAGACCTCTCTCTTCTATAAAGTGGGTATTTGTTGGTTTTTGTGGCGATCATTCAATTTGTATTATAAAATTTTGGTTTGGGTTCGTTTCGCCTATAGACATTCGGGCCTAAAACTTTTCGCCTCTAGCTTATTAAAGCCAACAAGCGCCAATAATTGAACATTTTTCATATAACTTTTGTTGCGTAAGGCTTTTGGCCTATAGCATTTCTCTTAAGAGGCGAATGCCAATAATTAAACATTTTGCCTAATAGCTTATTCGCCTAGAGCGCCAATGATTGCTAATAAGCGCGTATATTGCAAAGTCATTTATACAGATGGTACATGGTACCATTTCTTTCTTAAGTATGTGTCAGAGTACACATTGCATATGGGGAGGGGGAATATGAATTGAGTATATTGCACCCTTAAAACTAAAAAAAATAGAGTGACTTATGTTATATTGTTTAAACAATATGATAATGCAAAAATGTCAGAAATTAGAGATTTCTATAGCCCATTTAAACTGAATAACTATCCCCAAGGTTCTAACTTCAGGGGATAAATGGGAAATTAAAGAGAGAACACTAAATTGCAGAGGAAAAAACTATTATATTCTAAAAAACGACGATAAAAATAGAATTTAATTAAAAAATGGAATTGCGAAATGCGCGGCAAAAGTTCTGAGTATAAATTTAAAAAACCCCGAAGACTGGAGAAAAACGTTCCGAACTTCCTCAAATGGGAACATTCAAATGGCAGTAGCAATGATTAATTTTACGTATGCCCAAATTGTAAAGGTTAAATATTTTTAAAATGTTCATAATTTATAAATAAAATTTGTTTAATTTATATCAATTTGATATTTGATATCTCAGCATTGCCAGTAAATAGTAAAAAGCAATACGTTCTGCTTAAATAGCGTCCGCAGGTGAAAGGTAGAGATTCTCAGGTTTTTTTAAAATTTATAGATGTGGCTTAGATAAATTTTATCCTTGAATGAAATTGAAATTTTATTGTAAAAGAGCAAAACACCTGCCGTATTGCCCCGACCTCCTTAATTTTATCATTAAATAAATAATTGTAAAAATTACGTTTGCATTAATTCAAAAACTAACTCTTCTCTATTTTAGTTAAAAAGGAATATCCAGCACTATTACCAATGTCTGAAATTTCGTTTAGAATTTTGCGGTATTCGAGGGATGCAATAAAAAGTGTTCTGACGTTAGTCACTTTAAAACCTTTAAGTGCATAACATATAGTTTATTTAGTCATTATAATAAAAAATTTTAAAGACGTAGAATAACGTCTGAATTGGGCATCCACTTGCTGAGGAATAAGGGTATATTTGATGCACGATGGGTATCCAGAAGTCTTAAACTGTCATGGCAGTTTAGAGTATCTATGAGGCCCCGTATCCACATTTAAAAAATGCAGGCGGACCCAATTAAAATGGTTAATTCTTACAAGATCTTTGATGTATTAATCTTCAATTTGAATTATCCAATCTGTCTTTAAGGATTCAGACAAAAAATAGGTTTACCTAAACCAGAAAATCAATAAAGCAGACGATTCGATTCAAAAATTGTAAATAAAGCAGAAGAATGCCTGGCAGGTTCTAAATTTATTTTGTATAATTTCTTGTTTATTTAATATTTCTGAAGGAGAACATATGAAAATAGCTGAAGAGGCTACTAGTGTATAGCATTCTTATCTGATATGGAATATTTGGAAATAACTAACTGACACTTAAAATTCATTAAGGGGAAGAGTAAAGATTAAACGAACATGTTTACGCCTAAGGTTATATAAGAATTTCAAAATATATTGAACGGTTGAGTTTAAAATAATAAATGTCCACGTGATTTGAAAGAGTTTCAAAATTGTGCACAATTCTGTGTAGTGTTGGTAAGGGAGGGGGGTACTGCTTTCACCGTATGAATGTCACTATGAAGCCTTTGCAAAGAAGTCTTATGATAAAACGTATTTCCAGTTTAATGATAAATAAATCTTAAAAGAACCTTTTAGTCATTGAAATTCTTCTCATGTATCATATAAAGTGGCTAATAAGTCACATGTTCGCAAACGATAACCAATCAAGGTAACGGGCTTCTAATATTATTAAGTAAAAAAGATTTGATACAGCCAACATTGTAGTTTTTTTTATCCCCACCTTTTTTGATCTATTTTGATTTGTGCATTATATTCATGATACTATAATTATTTTGATATATACTATTTATGAAATGCATTCGCTAAAATTACTTCATTATATAAAATATATTTTTCAATTAATATATAACTTTCTAAAATAGCTACTTTTATTTAAATGTAGAGATAAGGTATTTTTATATAAAATTACGTTGATTGTAAACTATTTTTAAAAGTTCAAAAAATAATTTGTAATCTTGGAAAAGACAAGAATAAGCCTTCCTTTTTTTTCTTTCTCCTTCCTTCCTTCTGGACAATTTTAGAGTGATTTATTTTTTTTATTTGAACTTATAGAGTGCTTCTCAGTAAATTTTAAGACTTCAGCACTAATTATGATACTGCCAGTGTGTGTATCAGACGGTTCAAGTGTCTAAAAAATATAGAGATTTTTTTCCCTTAGATCAATCCAGATGATAATTTTAGGAATCGTATATTTAAAAAAAACGAAGTTAATAGTGATTAAAATTCTTGGTAAATATTTTATCCATTCTCTATAATGATAAAACGTCGGTCAGAGGATGAGACGGGTCCTGTCAAAGTTTCGCCAATTTGGGACACTACCAGTTCCAAATATAGGATCTTCGGGACATGTCCTCACTCTTTAAAAAAAATTAAGACCTGAAAAGAGAAGAAATATATTTTTTTAAATGTTAAAAAGAGTAAATTTCTTAATAAAAAATAAAATAATATTTTAAAATATTTTTTTAAAATAATAACAAAAAGATGTTGTTCATTGTAATAATAAAACAAATTATATTTTCTATCAGAAAAATATTTGGACAATAAATTTATAAAGAGGATGCATGAAGACTCCATCTAAGGCTAACTCTATGAGATAGGTCTTCTTTACAGGTTCATTAAGTTGCGTTTCGTCCTAAAAAAATGTGATGTTATAGGATTAATTAGTAAATATGCAATATTTTAAAATCGAATCAAATAACACATTAAATTTATTTAATTTTTTGGAATAAAATATCACTGGAATTAATTACTAATTGATTGGTATTATTTTAGTTATAATCATTAGATTCTCCAGTCGCTTAACCAATCCATCGCAAATTTGACTGTTTTCATAAATATTATTTTAAGCTAATAAAAATTCCCCCCCCCCCCCCCTCCCCCCTCCCCCCCAATTATAATTTACAAATATGAATATCAATTTTCCAACATATTATTCAAAAATATTAATAAAATGGAAAAATATTTAGTCTAAGAGATTGAAATCAAACGATAATTTATTTTATTATTTTATATATTTATTTTATTAGATTCAAAATTATTAGTGAGTTAGAATTAATAAGTATTTTTAATAATATTTTAATTATTAATAAATATCTATAATTTTTTAAATATTTTTCATTTTTACTTCCATTTTGTAGAACAGAAGAAATAGAAATACAGAAGTTAAATAAGGCTGAGCATGAAAAAAAGTAATGTGTCGTCAAAAGCGATATCATTATTGAATTCAATTGATCAATCAGAGTTTATCATTGATGCTAGTTGCATCAATAAATTACTTTTAGCTCACTACTTTGTAAAAATTTATAAAAACCAAAGATTTGGTTCAGGTTATTGATTTGGCGGAAAATATATATGAACAGGTAGATACAATAAGAATGAATCTAGATAAATATTTTCATAATATTTATCTAGACGTTGAATCGAGGGCTAAATTTTATGATATATAACACTAATTTAAACTCGTCTAGCACCTAGGCCATTATTGAGATGTAAAATAAATATTGGCTTAACTGAAGAATATTATAAAATATCCAATTTCATCCCATTCTTACATACTTTTTTATCGCAACTAAAAGTACAGTTTTTAGATAAAAAAC